GAAAGAGCGAATATAAAGATAGGAGACGAAACATTAGAAGTAGCTGATTTTAGATATCTAGGAAGTCAGATAAGTCGGGATGGAAGGAGTAGTAGGGATATAAAGCAGAGGATAGCGCAGAGTCGTGTCGCCTTTAATAAAAAGAAGTCACTTCTATGCTCGCGAACGGTTAATTTAGAAATTCGAAAAAAGTTGTTAAAGGTGTATGTTCGGAGCACGACATTATACGGGTGCTAAACATGGACAGTGGGCGCGGCGGAAAAGAAACGGTTAGAAGCGTTCTAAATGTGGTATTAAAAAGAATAGGAGAACAGAGATCTCTATGGAAGTCAATAAAAAATAGGCGAGATAGGTTGGTAGGACACCTTCTCAGGCATGAAGGTCTAGTCAAGGGCATATTAGAGGCAGAAACATGAGTTAGGAGGGGTAGAGGTAGACCTAGATTAGATTACTGTTCGCAAATAGTTAAGGATGTGGGCTGTTCTAGTTTTAGGGAAATGCGAAGTTTAGCTCAGGATAGGAAAGAGTGGAGGTACGTGTCCAACCAGTCTTAGGACTGACGACCTTATGATGATGATGATGATGAGGTCGACCAGGAGAACGGTCAGTTCTGAAAATCAATCCCACAGTATTTTTTGCTTTCTTATTGCATAAATATATTTTTTGCGGAATGTATTTTTCTCCCTTTATTAACAGAAACGAAAAGCTAAAGTAGTTTGATTCTATGGTAAATATTGTGTTTTCATTAAATGTCTGATTACTTTCATTTTGGTTGAGTCGATTTTAGCTTGAATTCATTATTATCAGCGCGCTTGCTGGTTGCAGTTTGATGCCCGGAGCTGGATTGTGTTCGGCGAAAAACAAAATCTTTGTGCTGGCTAAATGACTGCAAATAATCTGCTAACGGCTTCTAATAAATTACTGCAAAACCGACGAAAAACCGCAGAGGAGAGAAAGAGCTTTTGCCGTAGCCGAAAGCAAACTCAATTAAGCAGTCATTTATAAAAATTATCGGGCAGAGGCTGTTTGTTAGAAGTCGGAAATGGATTTCGCTTAATGCACAATTTAAAAGGTAGAATGCTTATTGACCTTTTTGTAGAAACAAATCATAATTTGTATGGAAACGGGTCACTTCTTAGAGTTAATCATGATTAGTATTCTTTTAAAGATGAAGAACTTATAGTTAATCTTCTAGTAGATTTTCAAAAAGATTTTTAATTTGCACTAACTAAAAATACGACTAAGGCAAAGACCTTTTCTCTTTAGTTATTCACACGTGTTTAAAAAAAACATTAAAAGTGAAGGTAACCATTAAACAACAAGACCCAAAAATCAAATTATATTATAAATTTAAATACAAATCTGCGCTTCCCTAAGTTAGTACCAAATTACGTAGGTAGAGAATTTCCTAGGTCTGGCAACGTTAGCCAAAAATCAAATGCTTTAGTGGACATCTCTTTCCCTGTTACTTACTGCTTGCAGAAAGAGTGAGAGGAGGCTGACGAGGTAGATTTGATTAGCCTGCCATCTGGTAGCAACTGAGAGTCCAGAAATTCATTATCATCATCTAGATCGTTAGTTCTAAGACTGCTTAGACACGTACATTCACTCCTTCCTATCCTGAGCTAACCTTCGCATTTCTCTAAAACTAGAACATCCTACATCCTTAACTATTTGCGAACAGTAATCTAACCTAGGTCTACCTCTACCCCTTCTAACTCCTGTTTCTGCCTCTAATATGTGTCTAACTGGCCCCTCATGTCTGAGAAGGTGTCCTACCAACCTATCTCGCCTATTTCTTATTGACTTCCATAGAGTCCTCTGTTCTCCTATTCTTTCCAATACCTCGTTATTTCTAACCTTCTTTATCCACAGTATCCTCAGAAATTACCATTTGAAAATATTGTGAGCAGATAGCTGATGATTTGTTACAAAATTCCTTGATCAAATTTTATAATTATTAATATTTGTCAAATAGCGCAAGCAACTTCGATCCTACCGGAAGTTCAACAACACCACACAGCTTGTTTCTAATTTTTTTTATTCATTCCGCCTTTTTTGTTCGTTTCTAAACGAATAGTATGTGATTTCAATCAATTTGGTAGAACTTTCCTTCAAGCAATTAAATCGCTTGTTGGATCAGCACGAAGTGGCGCCGCAATTCCAAGTTTTTCGCGTTTCTAAAAAATATTGCCCTAATTAACTGTTCCACCAGCGACGTTTGCGTGATCGCCATATTGATCTTAAGTTTTGATAAATTGCTGCACCACATATTGTTCGATAAAGAAACATTATAATTCCACATTAAATTATTGTAGGTCAATAACTGGGTTACATAACTCGTTCCAACTGATTGTGAAATGATCGGTCAAGCAATTTAGAACAATAAAATAAAATTTGTAGGCTTTCACAAGATTTCTGTTTTAATTATTGTTTATCTTCATAATATAAGCAGCAACACTTTCTGCACATTGGTTTTCATTAAACAGCGGTGAGGCAATCTTCGGATTTCCTTATAACTAGCATTCTACATTTTTATTTATGAACAGTAATTCAATCTAGGTCTTCCTCTGCCATTCGTTAATTTTGCATCTGTTTCTGGATTGTCCTAAGTAGTAAAACACGTGTCAGAATGCGTCCTATAGTTGGGAAGTTCAAAATTGGCATAGTCCGCAATAAAACTATCGTATTTACTTTCTTCTCTCAACTACTAACTAGACTAGAAAGGTTGCTGACAGAGCGCCTACTTTTACTCAAGGCAGACGTTGTAGGGTATATCGTAAACAGGAAAGAGATGTCAGTTAAGAATTCCAGCGGACGCTAATAAAGAAAAAGTAATAACATTACACTAACCAATGTGTAACAGAAAGAGATGCAGACAGCATCGGACTTTAAAGAAAGTTCAGGAATTTATGAAAACAAAGATGCTTGTTTAAGGACATAATTCCAACCAGGCAGTTATAAAGCCGACCCTGATGTTTTGCGTAACTTAACACCCTCTAACTGCTGTACCGCTTACTATTATTCGGTTATCTCTTTTCTCTTTGTCTGTACTCCCATTTCCTAACTTAACAAGGGTGTGTTCAAAACCCAGCAATGACTCCAGTCCCAAGTGGAAACAAGAAAGAAAATACGTCCTTTGCGTACTTTACTGGACTATGAATAAATCCGAAATATACTATAATTTCAGGTTAGAGATATGCCCCTTCCCTTTATTAGGATGCGCCGTAGCATAATTCCCAATTGAATCATATATGTCTGCGGAGCTCATTTCTCCAGCGATCATCGAGCGAGAACTAGATAAAAGTGTACAGTACCATTTGCAAAATTATTTAAACTGCCCCGTTAAAATTTAAGAATATGCTTTATTTAAAAGCATATTTAGCCAAAAATAATAACAAGTGAATTAACTTAACGCTCTACATACCTATAAAACTTTTGCTTTGTTTTTTATTGTTCATTTATATACATTTTTCTTTTAAGAGATTGCTAGACATCTTCGTCTAGTACTGTACATTTCTAGCCGATCTCCTAAGACCGCCCATCGAGAACTCTGCTCCTTCAAGCTTGTTCCAACTATTTCTGTCTTGCTCACGCCTAGTGTGTATTCTTTCTATCTTCGCGCAAATTTCTTCAAGGTCACAATTCCAACAAATTGAAATGGACTGTACAATCCTATCTCTTCTTTCCCGTATTAACTCTCACAGGGCCCTCTACTTCTACGATTCGGCGATATATACATATATATATATATATATATAT